TTATTATTATTATTATTATTAACTGGCCCCCGGGCCATAGGTTGCTGGTCCCTGCTTTAGAGCATTTAACAGTGCTATAGGCATACAAATCAGTAGGATTCTAACACCCACAGTTTGTAGCAAGGAAACCATTTCCTACAATTTATTTCCATGTAAGAGCCAGTGTGGTGTAGTGGTTTGGGTGCTGGACTATGACTCTAGGGACCAGGGTTCAAACCCCCACTCAGCCATGGGAACCCACTGAGTGACCTTGGGTAAGTCATATTCTCTCAGCTTCAGAAAAAGGCAAAGGCAACTCACCTTGGAACAAATCATGAAGGCAAATAACAACAACAACAAAAATTAAATCCTGCTATTTGGATTTTATAGCAGGGAAGGAAGATGGAGATCCAGTTTAGACCATGGCATCTCCCTTCAAGTGAAATACAACCTTCCAGGAATGTATGAGGAGAACTATGGACTACAGAGAAGGAAGAAACATGCTTACACTGAAATGAACTAATGGTGCTGATAGAGGTGCAATATGGATAACTGATATGCTAATGAACAATCTGTTGAATTGTGCATCATACACCTAAATTTCTAATCCTTTATTAATAAAAATGCAAACCTAAATATATATATCCACCCAGATGTAAGTGCATTCATTTCAATGGCATTGCTTCTGGATAAGTGTGTGTACTTCTATACACAGGATTGCATCTTAAATTCAGTGCGAGTTACTTCTAAGTAAATGTGCGTAGGCTAGGATACTGGCTTATATTCCTTTACATAGCAGCTTGTTAGTACAGCCTTCCACTTAGAAGAGCTGACAGGCTGGATTTGATACATATTTATGAAATGCCTAGATTTGAAATCTCCTGTGAATTCAAAGAGCTTTTAGTAGCTCAGACTTCTCTTTCTCCTTCTCTCCCTCCCTCCTTCGTCTGTCTTAAGCATTTGGCCACATGCAAGGGCACTGAAGCATTTAATTGAAGAATTATTCAGGATTTACAACAATATAAAGAAAATTGGGTTATTTTGGCCTCCTACCAATCCTGCCACCATCTCTTTAGGTTTAGTGTGTCTAGTCATCGGCATTGCTACTAAAAAAAGAATCTATCAGTTCTGACATGTTTGCAGTTTAACCTCTCACTTTTAGTTCTGACTTTTTAATACAAAAAGGAGGCTCAGACAGGAAGAAGTTGATTTCTATTGAAGGATTTCCCTCCCCCCAAAATTGAGTTATCTGTATTAAACTTTTCTGACCTTGTATAAGATACATTGGTTATCAATAGCTCTTTGGACCAAGAGGCACACATACCAAGCCACCGAATACATATACCTCTTTACTTGCTGCAGAATTTGAATTTGCTATATTTGTGAATACAATCCATTTGAATTTGTATTTGTGAATACAATCCAGGAGCCACTGTGGTTTAGTGGTCTGAGTACTGAATTAGGATATTGGGTTTGAGTTTTGAAACCAAGGTCTAAATCCCCGCTGAGCCATGGAAACCCACTGGGTGATCTTTGGCAAGTCTCAGCGGAAGGCAATGGAAAACCTCCCCTCCTCTTAAAAAATAAATCTTGCCAAGATAACCCTATGGCTGGCTCACCTTAGGGTCACCAGAAGTCAGAAACAACATGAAGGCACACACAACAATATCACAATCTGGCTAAGAAGAACAGCCCAAGATGTTTTGCTGCTTGAGATAAAAGACAAAAGACAGCATCTTCTATCTCATCTATGTCCAGAAACAAATTGGACTTGGAATTGAATCTTACTTCAATTCTGGCAATGGGTCTGTCTCCTCCTTTCTTCTTCT